GGGGGGGGGGGGGGTCCCTCAGCCATAAGAGAGCCATTTAGGAAACAGCTCAAAGCATGAGAAGCCAACCAAGTGGCCAGGTGCTGGTGTGGGCACTCCTCTGCCACATCCTGAGTGCAGCTTGTTTCTAGGAGACCGAGGGCCATGACTGGGCACAGGGACGGGCACCTGCCTTTCTGCTCAGACACTGTCCACAGGATTACTCTCCTCCACTAGCCTCAGTTCACCCAGACCACCATGCTAGGAGGGAGGGGCTCTTAAGTCCCAACCCTTGAGCCTGGGCACCGCCTCCCTGGAGCACTCTCTACTTTTTGCTCCGAAATGTGTTAGTTCCCACCTCTTTCCCACCCACCCAGCAACCACCTTCATGCTTCCGAAAGGCCAGAGAACTATTTTCCTGCTGGTGGGCACATGGAGTCCCCGGTATCCATGATCTTTGGTCTTTTGTTCCAGTTCCTCCTTCACAATGAGAGAGAGAGGGCTGAGGGCGGTTGCCCTGGTGGCCAGGACAAGCTGGACACTGGTCAGACTTCAGCCCCTCCAGCATGTCAGCAAAAGCAGGACATGCTGGTGTCGATCCGTTTGCAGAGGTACACACTCTCTGGCCACCCCAAGACAGCAGATGCCCAAGTCCAGTGTCTCACCATGACGGGTGCTAAAGAGGCGGCTGATGGGGGGTTCCAGAACAGCTCCTCTTCAATATCAGAGACCCACGTGTGCCCTGGTCCGACACATGCACTGCACACTCACATCTACAAGCTTGCCTCATCTGTCCTGTCCAGCTGCCTTCCCCGTCAAGTAAAATAAAAATGAAACTGCACCTTAGAGTTCACTGGAGACAGTGCGATGCATTGCTGCACACAGTGTATGCTACCTTCAGTGTAAGGAAGCAGGAAAAATAAGAGTGTGTACAGATCTGCTTGTTTCTGTAAGAAACACTGGAGAGAACCTGGAAGTATGGGTGAGAGGGGACAGGCATGGAATCTCTGAATAGCCTTTTTATTTATTTTAACAATGTACATGTGGGTTTTTACTTTTTAAACTGTGGTAGAAATATACATAACAAAATTTACCACTAACCAGTTTTAATGTGCAGCTGAGTGGCATCGACTGCGTTCACACTGCTGTGCAGCCATCACCACCATCTCCAGAACCTCTTCATCTTCCCAAAAGGAACCCCTGGACCCATTCAACATTCACTCTGCACCCCTCCCCCTGACACCCCATTTCACTTCCCGTCTCTCATGCCTCTGGCTACTCTATGCACCTCGTATTTGTGGAATCATACAGTTTGTCCTTCGGTGACTTATTTCACTCAGCATCATGTGCTTAAGGTCTACCCATGCTGCAGCCAGTGAGATATTCCCGTCCTTTTATTTTTTAAATATGTCTTTAGTGATTTCAGAGAAAGGAAGGGAGAGGGAGAGAGAGAGAGATAGAAACATCAATGATGAGAAGGTCATCACTGATCGGCTGCCTCCCACACACCCCCGGCTGGGGATTTAGCCCGCAACCTGGGCATGTGCCCTGACTGGGAATCAAACTGCCATCTCCTGGATCCTAGGTCAATGCTCAACCACTGAGCCATGCCTGACCAGGCTTCCTGTCCTTTTTAAGGCTGAATAGCATCCCACTATATGGATGGACCATGTTTGTTTACCACTTCATCTACTGACAGGCACTTGGGTAGCTTCCCCTGCTTGGCTGTTGTCAGCGGTAGCCTTGCTATGAACACGGACCTGCACACACCCGTGTACATGCCCAGAGTGGAATGGCTGGATCACATGGTAATCCTATTTTAAATCTGGAGGAACCCCCATACTGTTTTCCACCTCAGCTGCACCACTTTATACCCCCACCAACAGTGCACAGGGCTCTGATTTCACCATGTAAATGACAATAAAGGGAAAAAGCCCTAAAATCTAAGCCACGTTGAAACACTAGTGATCCTAACAACCAAGCTGGTAACATAAGCACTGAAAACCATTGTTCACGTCTGAAAGCACTCCTCTGATGCCCTTCCTGGGAAGTTCAAGGACAGGAGAACAATCAGGAACACAAGCTTCTTCAACAGTGACAGTGCAAATAAACACTCTGTTACTAGGAACCAAGATTTTCAGCAAAAAGGAAAGAACTATGACGACCGAGCCACAGAAGTTAACCCGGAGTGAGAAACAGCATTCTGCGCTCACCAGCCAGTGTGTTTCCCAGCTCTGGCTTGAACAGACTTAGGATTAGTGGCATCCCGGGAGAGACAAGCATCCCCAGCACATGGAGTTAGGTTTCATTTTATTTACTTATTTATTTTAACCCTCACCCAAGGATATTTTTTCCAGTGCTTTTCAGAGGGAGTGGAGGGGAGAGAGAGACAAAGACAGACAGACACTGATTGAGAGAGACACTGATTGGTTGCCTCCCGCACGCACCCTGACCAGGGCTGGGGATGGAGCCTGCAACCAAGGTACGTGCCCTGGGCCAGAACTGAACCTGGGACCCTTCAGTCTGCGGGCGATGCTCTAACCACTGAGCAAAACTGGCCAGAGCCAGCTTAAAGGCACTCCCTTCCCCTGACCACATCAGGGGTAATGCAAGCAAAAAAGCACCAGGACCCTATGCCTAGAATCAGCACTGAAATCAGACCCACCGGCTAGTGGTGGCTCACAGAGCAAGGAGGGAGGAGAAAGGGAGAGGGAGAGGCAGAGGGTGAAAGAAAAACCACCAGGCCCTGACCGGGTGGCTCAGTTGGTTAGAGTGTCATCCAGATACTCCAAGGTTGCAGGTTCAATCCCCAGTCAGGGTACATGCAAGAATCAACCAACGAACGCATAAATGAGTGGAACAACAAATCAATGTTTCTCTCTCTCTCTCCCCCCACCCCTTCCTCCCTGTCTCATCAATCAATTAAAAAAAGAAAAAACACTAATTTCCACAAGTGCAGTGGTTAGCTTACTTTGCAAACTGGTACTGAAAGAATTAAGCATCAGCCCTGCTTTCTGGAAGAAACTATGGCGCACACCCTGCTGATGAAGGAAAGCCCTTCCTTGAAGGATGCCTGCTAATATCGATGGCAGGAATCCCAGAAGCAGAAAGTCATCCTTGTCACCCCTATGAAACACTGACTCAAGCAAGAATCATCTAAGGGATCTAACACCATGAGAAGCAAGGGTGACGGGAAACAGAATGTTCCTAAGGTGCTAAAGCGCATGTCTCCAGATCACCTGCTGCTCACATAGGGAGACCTGTCCCTTTCCCTCTTGGGACTCTTGTTACCACCACAGCCCAGTGCCGGGACTCAGCATCACCAACAGTGAGTGACCTGACATGGCCAATGGAGGGAGGGATTATCAAGTATAGGACACCCATTAAATATTTTTTCTAAAAATGTTTAATCTGAAGCCTTTAGACCTAATTTCCAGTTTACAGGAAAAACAGCACACAACTTAAATGACACCATGAAAACACAGGCAACCTCGGAACGCTGTGACCCTGTACAGCCAGGGGCCTGGGAAGAGTGGAGACCATTCTGCACTGGAAGAGGTAACCGAAGGTGAACATGAAGGCCAGCTGGACCCTGGTTTCAAACAAAGACATTCTGGAGACAACTAGGAAAATATGAATAGAGACAGGATTACCAATAACCTAACAACCTGAAGAACTTCTGCGTAGGTGTTATGTCTGCAACTAGCTTCCAGGTAATCCTGCCTCACACACACACACAAAGCAAGTATGGAAAAATGTGAACTCCTGTATCCAGGTCGCAGAAATTGAAATATTTGCTCTAATTTTGTAAAATGTTTGAAAATTTTAATAATCAAAGTGGGAGGGATGGAGGAAAAGAAACGCCCAGTGGTCCTGGCCTAGGGCAGGAGATGGGGTCACAGTTCGGCCCCGCTGCTGAGGAGCAAGGTCGCTGCCACCCGAGCCTCCCAGGCCTCTTCTCTGAAGTGAGGGGCCCACCTTGCGCACTATCAAACGAGCTCCAGGAGGCATCTGCACACCGCCTGTAGCAAGTGGGCACTGGGGCAAGCAAGGACCTGCAACAGCTGATCACCCACCCATAGGACTGTCCATGTCTGAGGGCTTTTCAAGGAGTTCAGGCAAAGCAGGATCTTAAAGGTATAAGAAAGGGCAGAAAAGGTGATGCTGACAGTAACACTGGGATCACTCTCTCGAGCATTAACTTCTGCAGCAGCCACGGTGGGAAAGTGGGGCACGTGCCACTGCCCAAGGTCTGGAACCAGGCCCCAGTCCCATCGGTGCTCACACAGATGGCCACACCATGACACCTCCTACTGACACCCAGCAGGGTTTGAGCAAACTTTAAGAGTGCTGCCTCCCCTGCAGACCCTGCTGGCTCGAATCAGCCTGGAGCAAAACACATCCAAGGACAAGTGACTGCAGCCTCGCATCACCGTTACTTTCCTCGTCTCCAAAAAAATATAATCCTAATGGTCAAACTGTAAAATGAACCTTTAGAAAACACTTCTGGTCAAATCTGTAACTCCATGTGCCGGGAGTGAAATCCTCCTGGAGTGTCTAGAGGCTGAGCCCCTCCTCAGCCACCATGGAGAGGTGAACCAAGTGCTGAGGGCAGAGCCAGTACAGAGGCCCCTGGCCAGGGGAGCTGCTCTCAGGAAACCCAGAGACCGTCAGCTCAACACATACTTCCAGTCTTAATGCTTTAGATTTTCCATCTGGAGAACTCCCCTTTAACTGTAGCTTATTCAGTTGTGACAAATGATAGCTTATGAACGTTCCTAGGACCAGAGAACTGTTGCAAGTGGTGGCCTTGAATTTGAGACAGGTTTCCTCCCTTTGCAAATTTAGGGAGGCATGTTTCTTGTACATATTTTTTGCCCCCACTGGGATACAGTGAATTCCTACAACATCCATTCACCTGCGTCACCAGGTCAGACCTCAGTCACATCACACTGAAGACTGCACGACACGAACAGCTGCCCCCTCTGAGGGCTCACGGCCACTCGTCCCTCTGCACCTGGAGTCCCGCAGCCCCGGTTACCTGACGTTTCCTCCAGCCTTCTGTATTCTCATTCGCTCCTCGTACTGTGTGGGGTTGTGCTCCTTGCTGAGGCTTAAGGCCGCATGTTTTTGACTCTCCTCATTGTAACGACACAGGATGGCCTGGGGAGACGGAGATCACAACAGTGTGAAACTCAGGAGCCCAGGGCCCAGAGTTACCAGTTGAAGATGAAGGTCAACAGTGGAGTTGCAGAGTCAGACTCCTGCTGACAAACATGAGTCCAAAGTCCCACCTCTGCTGGGTGACCACAGTGGGTGCTGGCCCTCTCTAGGATATTATCCTCTCGTGGGTGATGTGGGAGGGAGGCACGTAACAAGGCACCAAAGCCCCCCTTGTGCCCAGGTCCTAGTCCCCGAGTCTACACAAAGATGTGGGCAGAGTGGGGCAGGCTGACCAAGTATGTCTCCATGTGCTCCCACCACGTGTACAGGGGCCACTAATGGATAAACCTGGATTTACAGAGGAGGGAGCCGAGGCCGGAGGATAAACATCGCCCCAAAGTCACACACAGGCCAGGATTAGAATCTGACTCTAAAGCACCCCCTTTGGTCCATTTGTACTCATGCTATTTTATTTGCATCACTTTGCCTGAACACGTAGGTATGAGCCGCAGCCGACCAGAGGACCTCCGACTGTAAACCCACTAGGCAGGGACTGTCACCTGCGATGTTCACTGTGGCATCCCCAGCGTTTCTTCAGTAAATGAATAAATCACCCTAGAAGCCAGGGGCCTGGGGTAGTTCTCGCCAGGCCTGAAGCTGCTGCTTGTGGGGAAAGAGTGGCTGTGACTCTGAAGGAGCAGAGAGGCTGAGCCACCATGTGGAGGGCCAGCCTCTAGCTTTAAGCTGTTTCCTACCAGCAACTGGGGCCCAGGTTGTCAGCAGCAGGAAATGACTGGCTTCCCCTCAGCCACAGGGACCAGGCTCCTTGCATGAGCAGCACGTCACCTAGCACCTCCCTAGCGGAAGCACTTGAGTTACTGACACTACAGTGGTTCTGAGAGGCAGGCTCTGGGGCAGAGGCATAGAGTTAAAGAACATCTGTCCCTGTACATCGATTAAACTCCAACCCATGGCACTCCCTGACAGAGCACACATGCAAAAGGAACACATGGAAAACAAACAAAAGGAGTGCTTTTGGGTTTTAACGCAGAAGAGGTCTGCTGCAGGAAGTAAGTCTTCCCAGAGAACAAAGTGCCCCAAGCTCAGCTGCTACTCCCCACCCAGGGCTACATTCTGCACCAGAGTCCCCACAGCAACCCTCTGAACATTCCCACCCAGCCCGCGTCATTTTCATCTTAGTCCACAAGCGCCTGCTGCCCCTGTGGCCCACAGAACATGCTGTTAGCTACGTGGGTGGCTCCAGAGCCACATACCCGACTATCTCCAAGGTTGGCAATATAAAGGGTGTTGTCTACAGCCAGAACACACGTGGCAGTGGACCCATCTTTCCAGGCAGGCTTCCTGGGGGAAAGACATCAGAAATACAGTCACCACCAACAGGCCAGCACTTGAGACTAGTTCCCAGTTGACAGGAGGTGGCGTGGACTTTAACCTGGAGCGCTTCCTTGACACTTGTTTTGTTTCAGATTGAATTGAGAGTTACAGCGCTTACTTGGTGCTGGGTACTTTTCAGACAGGAGCGGTAGCAGGGGACAGAACCAGAGCCCTGGAATGCATTCAGGAGCAGAGCACGTGTACTCCATGCACAGGTGTCATGTGGCCCCCACTTACTGACTTGAGGCCTGTTTGAGGAACTCTTCATCCGTGTGCTTAAACGTGTCCAAAAGACACCTCTTCACGGTTTTCTCGACACTGATTACATCTCCTATCACGAAGGAGCAGAAAACCAATGCTTAGGGAGGGACAGCTAACCTCCACCCACTGACACCATTTCTGAACTGTGACCCAGACCATCTATGTCCCCCCTACAGGACAGTGCCATCTGCATGGGGGGAACAGACTCGCACTGTACCAGACACTATACCCAAAAGGGGCCATCGCTCAGGACATGAGGAGTTCTACGAGGCACCTGCTTGCTGGAGCCCAGGCCCCTCAGCCCTGCCTTCTTAGCTGGTGTCAGTGTGCTTTGCTAAACCAAAGGACGTTGTACTGAGTCACACCAGCAGAAATCTCAAGATGAACACGAATGGATTTAGTTCAGTCTCACCTTTAGGAAATTTCCTGATTAAGTTCTGATGCAAATTCTGCGCAGCAAACTTTGAGGCTCGAATTCCTCCATGTCCATCAAAAACGGCAAAATATGAAACCCGGGCACTAGGAGAACGGTGGAGAGTCAGTGGGGCCCCCACAGCAAGCCACACTCCTCTCCCCTAAGTGTCTCCACCCAACTCAAACTGTGAGCACTGACCACAGGGGCAGTCCCCTGGTGAGACACCAGCCACAGTCACGAAGGGAAGACAGGCAATGACATTAACTGGAACAAACATAGAAGTGAATGCTATGGTCTTTCAAAATTAAACACACTTGTTTCAAAAATCAAGGTCCATTAACTCTGATTTTTCATGAAGGTGAAAAAATCCAGAACTTTTTCTATTAAAGCAGATCTTGTTTTAAACACCAAGACACAGATAAATCATTACTGATCTAGGACAGTCAAAAATATCTGTAACGGCAGGGGTAATAGCTTCAGGGTTGTCACTCAAACTCTGACAGGTATCTTTTGATCGGTGCTCAACTGCTGAGCCACGCTGGCAGGTCAGGTGTCTAATTCTTAAAGCTCACCTCACCAGACGTATTCCTATTCCCCTTTCAAGGTTTGCCAGGAAACTCACACATGTACGGGATCAATGGCATTAAATAAACAGTATCAAGGAGAAAAGAAAATGCCTATGAGAAAGGGCACTTTTACTGCAGAGCTGCTTTTTGCAAACACCTTTGCAATTAATTTCTTTTCACCTGGGACATCAGGAGCCATGGGAAAATAAACGTCATCCGGGACAGAACTCAACCGGCCACCCTGCAGCATGGTGTCCACCAGGCATGGGTCAGTGTTCCCACCAAAGCGTCTGCCCTCGGGCTCTCTGCAAATGCCTATCCTGCTTTAAAAGCAACCCCAAGGCGCACTCCTGATCCTGGTGACCCCGAGCGCACACATACACAGTATCAGGCACCCGAAGCCACCACCTCCTCCTGATGAGGCCTGGTCTGCTGAACAAAGCCACCAGCACCAATGCTCCAGCACACTGCACATTAACCAGCTGGTCTCAGTTCACAAATGTATCGTATACGTGATGTGATTATGGAAATCGGGGGGGTGTATGTAATTATCATATGTAAACATCCTGTATGTCAATGGCCACCTCCACGTCCTGCCTACGGGCTGCTTTTCCACCATACCTAAGACCTTGCCCAGCAGGCTTCACTGAGTTTGTACTGATGTCGGTATTTTACTGTTTCCTCCCCCTGGAGCCATCTCTGCACTTGGCTTTTTCTGGGCCCTCACTAGCTGCACGAGCTCTCCTTGGTCAGTGCTCACTGCTATGCTTAGTGGCTTCCAGCTCCAGTGTCTGGGTCCCACAGCAAGAACACTCCCCGAGAGCAGCTCTTCAGATGGTGGGGAGAACACTCCCCGAAGGTCCCAGTGTGGAGCCACTGCCTATCCAGCAGGACTCCTCGCCTTCAGCAAGACTGGCATTGGGGCCGCACAATTCTCTGTTGTGGGGCTGTCTTAGCAGCTGTAGGATGTTTGGCAGCATCCTGGGCCTTCCCCACGAGATGCCCAGTAACACACCCTTCCACTGCGACAACCAAAAATGTGAGAGGGAGGGGGCTGAAACCAACCTGAGCTGAGAACTACTACTGCTGGACCAAGCAGCTCCAGGGCTACGTACGTGTCAATCTTTCTAACAAATATGAAGTGGACAAAGTCCAAAGCTGCAGCGAGACTTTGATCTTACGCCCGTGGGCTTGTGGGAGAAGGGACACTCACATGAGGGATGTTGGCGGCCCGCACTCCTCGGTGATGTCGTTCAGGATGACGTGTGCGTCCTGCATCTCCTCCCGCTCGCCCTTCCGTTCAGCCACGTAGCCTTTCAAACTAAAAATCACTGAAGAGGCTAAGGAAGAGAGAACAAAGGCCAATACAAAACTGTGCCCTGCCCTGCAGAGGCCCTAGTCCCAGAGCAAAGGAGGGGGAAAGCGGCTGCTTTACTCCACAATGTCTTAACGGGAAAACATAAGCTCTCCCCCTCGGGGCATCTATCTCCCTGCTACAAGCCTGTAACTGAAATCAGACCACTCTGGTCAGGCTGGTCTCTGCAAGGCTGGACAGTGGCGAGGAAACGGAGGACGACAGCAGGCTAGCACAGGACAGCTTGGTTGGGCATGAAGTACCAGAGACAGAAATGCAGTGGCATTTGAACAGGGGGGAGGGATTCGTACAAATCTAACCTTGTCAATAATTTAATGACAGAAAAATTCCTACTTTAGAGAAATGCAAATAGAGTTTATCCCAAAGGTCCTGCTGGACATGTGAAAATGTTACCTCATGCCCGAGGCTGGTGAAGAACTTGAAAGCTGGTGAGACCAGCTGCTTTCACTCTAACTGAGGAAGGACAGGGTAAGGAGCCTACCTAGGCGGATACCCAGTCTAGTGAATGGCCAGCTGGCCTACTCTCGCCTTCTGACCCCTGGGGCCATGCAAATAATAAGGCGAGCACTTTTGAGAGCAGCTGCTGGTGGGCAGAGCTCTGCAGGCCAGGGCACTGGGCGCTCAGCTGAAGACTGGCAGAGCAAGCAGGTCCCCTCACACCTCCGCAGGCACCTACAGCTCTGGGTCCTTCGTGGAAAAAGACAAAGGGGTTGGGCAGTGAATGAACCCACAGCTATTTCTCTCTCATACTTCTCGTTCCTCGCCACTGTGACAAGCTACAAAGCTGACTACAAATTTCAATTGCTTTCCACAGCCCTGGGCTCTCTCTAGGGAAGCTGCCTACTGAGCTAACCACAGAATCAAAGCACTAATCACCAGGCTGTGAACAAAGAGCGAACCGAGAGAAACAGTGGTCAGCAGGCTACCTGCTCACCGGGGAGGACGAAGTGGAAGCTCTCTGTGGAACAGAACTGCCTGGGAACAAGCGTAGGTTTCCGACCTAAGGGGGGGTCAGGGTCAGACATGTCCATGGGAAGTAAAGAGAGAATGAGGAGTAACCTTCGGGGGTCTGTGCAAAAAGGGAGCCCTACTCGCTTCTTAAACAGACACAGAGGAAGTATCATCAGAAAGCTGAGTTTGTTTTTGCTCTGGGTTGCTTTAAATTATGAAGTCTAATACATTTGTTTTCAAACTGTCTGAAAACCTTTACAAACTTTCTTTTCCACAAGCTCTTCACTGCCATTCTCCTCTTCCGACGATTTCCTCTTTGCTCCTTTCCCTTCATTCTTTACCATCTGGGATATCGAGCTGTCCAGAGAACCTGTAGATGAAGTAAAAGCCAGACAGAAACAGCTGTAGACTTACAAAAAGATCCCTGCAGACCAGGCTCCCCCCCAGCCCTCAGAGACAATGTGCCACTTCCAGCAGCCATGGCTCTGACTCCCAGGCCAGGCTGGTCACCCGCAGGGGAGACCACACCAGCCGCGAGAGATCTGCAAGAGAGGCTTCGCAGTGGTAAAGAGACATCGTACGTGGGCTGTAGCACATACAGGGTGTTGTACATCCACAGTCTCTTATTTACAAATAGGGAAGTTTCCAAAGTCTGCAAAGGGACACATATTAAACAAGTTTAAAACAAAACCAAGTACCAAAAAAGGCTTAAAATGAGGTAAAAGTCAGGTTTTAAGAACTGTGTGATCCCGAAAGGCAAAAGAGGGCTGCTGAAGCCATTCCCAGTCCTGGGGGATGAGTGTGCTCAAAGCCAGAGCTAAGAGCAACTGCAGAGAGAGAGAGAGAGACACACAGAGAGAGAGAGAGACACACACACAGAGAGAGAGAGAGAGAGAGTGAGTGTGTGTGTGTGTGTGTGTGTGTGTGTGTGTGTGTGTGTGTGTGGAAAGGTCTAGTATCAAACCCCGCCCTTAAGGCAGCTGCAGTTACTCAGCCTTCGGCCCGTTTCTCCTTCACAGTGGGGAGAACGCAGCCAACTCAGGGGTGGTCTGACAACTGACAGGACGGCATGGGAAGCATGTATCACAGGGCTTGGTCCACCAAGTCCCCAACCACCAGCAGCCGCCGTCCTGATGGCCCTGAGTGTTCCTGTGTCTGGGCAGAAAAGCCGGCAACTCTTTCCTCAACATCTCTGCCGGACGCTTCCAGTGCTGAGGAAAAGGGAAGGGGACACCCTGCACCTCGCAGTCTGTCCTGCAGGGAGCTGACTCTTTCGTTTCCTACAGCAGTGTAACGGCGCACATCCCACCACATGGCAAGGCATGTTAGCTGAGAAGTTTCCTGGGGTTGCCAATAGCCTCTCCCAAGGGTCTCTCCTCTGGACACAGACAGCTCTTGTTCCTTTCCCCCGCTGTGTGTGTAAAAGAATCTTCTTTGCTTTTCAGTGGCAAAACAGAGACATTTTTCAGGCTTTGTTTTGCTTTCTAATAATCACACGGTCGTCAGAGGTGGTCTATTCTTGTTGGGACTTTATGTCCTAGAACGCAGTCAATTTTTGTAAATGGTTTTTGCTGCTTGAGGAGAATGTCTTTTCAAGAAATCCAAAATATTGGATGCAAGATTGGATTCTATTTCCAAAAAACTTCAAACTTGCTAAGAGTGCTGTTGAAATCCCCCAGGTTGTTACCAGTTTACTCTCTTTTGCCCTTGGACAACTAAGACATAGCTATGTTGAATCTTTCTTAGTTTTATCAAATCCGTTAAGAGCTCTGTTTGCACACAACCTTCATTATAACTAAAAGTACTGTCTTTATTGGGAAGAGGTCAGGCTAAACTGTATGTGTATGTAAGATGACTCTAATACTTTTTCTAAATATAGGGCCCTGCTGGCATGGCTCAGTGGTTGAACATCGACCTAGGAACCCAACCTATGAACCAGGAGTTCACGGTTCAATTTCTGGTCAGGGCACATGCCTGGGCTTTGG